CGGCTGCTCGCAGAACTGGTGGCGGCGGCTGCTGCTGCTGATGCCGGTAAAACAGCTTCGAAAAAAGCAGCTCCCGGCAGCAAAACACCATGGCTCTGAAGGACGAGCAAGGTCCAGAACCACGCCAAAAAACTCCCTAACGTGTCGTCTGAAATCCTAGAAAAACAGCACATTGTCGAGAGATTGTCAAGAGATTCTGTTGCCTGCGGCTGCTCGCAGGACTGGTGGCGACGGTTGCTGCTGCTGATGCCGGTAAAACAGCTTCGAAAAAAGCAGCCCCCGGCAGCAAAACACCATAGCTCTGAAGGACGAGCAAGGTCGAAAGATTCTGTTACCTGCGGCTGCTCGCAGAACTGGTGGCGGCGGCTGCTGCTGCTGATGCCGGTAAAACAGCTTCGAAAAAAGCAGCTCCCGGCAGCAAAACACCATGGCTCGGAAGGACGAGCAAGGTCCAAAACCACGCGAAAAAACTCCCTAACGTGTCGTCTGGAAATCTAGAAAAATCTAGAAAAACTAGAAAAACAGCATTTGTCGAGAGATTCTGTTGCCTGCGGCTGCTGCTGCTGATGCCGGTAAAACAGCTTCGAAAAAAGCAGCCCCCGGCAGCAAAACACCATGGCTCTGAAGGACGAGCAAGTCGAAAGATTCTGTTGCCTGCGTTGCCTGCGGCTGCTCGCAGAACTGGTGGCGGCGGCTGCTGCTGCTGATGCCGGTAAAACAGCTTCGAAAAAAGCAGCTCCCGGCAGCAAAACACCATGGCTCGGAAGGACGAGCAAGGTCCAAAACCACGCGAAAAAACTCCCTAACGTGTCGTCTGGAAATCTAGAAAAACAGCATTTGTCGACAGATTCTGTTGCCTGCGGCTGCTCGCAGAACTGGTGGCGGCGGCTGCTGCTGCTGATGCCGGTAAAACAGCTTCGAAAAAAGCAGCTCCCGGCAGCAAAACACCATGGCTCGGAAGGACGAGCAAGGTCCAAAACCACGCGAAAAAACTCCCTAACGTGTCGTCTGGAAATCTAGAAAAACAGCATTTGTCGACAGATTCTGTTGCCTGCGGCTGCTCGCAGAACTGGTGGCGGCGGCTGCTGCTGCTGATGTCGTTTGAAATCCTGGAAAAACAGCTTTTTTCGAGAGAGTCTGTCGCCTGCAGCTGCTCGCAGGTGGCGGCTGCTGCTGCTGATGCCGGTACAATAGCTTCGAAAAAAGCAGCTCCCGGCAGCAAAACACCATGGCTCCGAAGGACGAGCAAGTTCCAGAACCACGCCAAAAAACCTCCCAAACGTGTCGTCTGAAATGCTAGAAAAAATGTGCTAGAAAAACAGCCAAAAAACAGCATAGAAACAGCATAGAAAAACAGCATTTGTCGATTGTCGAGAGATTCTGTCGCCTACGGCTGCTCGCACGACTGGTGGCGGCGGCTGCTGCTGCTGATGCCAGTAAACCAGCTTCGAAAAAAGCAGCTCCCGGCAGCAAAACACCATGGCTCTGAAGGACGAGCAAGGTCCAGAACCACGCCAAAAAACTCCCTAACGTGTCGTCTGGAAATCTAGAAAAACAGCATTTGTCGACAGATTCTGTTGCCTGCGGCTGCTCGCAGAACTGGTGGCGGCGGCTGCTGCTGCTGATGCCGGTAAAACAGCTTCGAAAAAAGCAGCTCCCGGCAGCAAAACACCATGGCTCTGAAGGACGAGCAAGGTCCAGAACCACGCCAAAAAACTCCCTAACGTGTCGTCTGAAATCCTAGAAAAACAGCACATTGTCGAGAGATTGTCAAGAGATTCTGTTGCCTGCGGCTGCTCGCAGGACTGGTGGCGACGGTTGCTGCTGCTGATGCCGGTAAAACAGCTTCGAAAAAAGCAGCCCCCGGCAGCAAAACACCATAGCTCTGAAGGACGAGCAAGGTCGAAAGATTCTGTTACCTGCGGCTGCTCGCAGAAGTGGTGGCGGCGGCTGCTGCTGCTGATGCCGGTAAAACAGCTTCGAAAAAAGCAGCTCCCGGCAGCAAAACACCATGGCTCGGAAGGACGAGCAAGGTCCAAAACCACGCGAAAAAACTCCCTAACGTGTCGTCTGGAAATCTAGAAAAATCTAGAAAAACAGAAAAACAGCATTTGTCGAGAGATTCTGTTGCCTGCGGCTGCTGCTGCTGATGCCGGTAAAACAGCTTCGAAAAAAGCAGCCCCCGGCAGCAAAACACCATGGCTCTGAAGGACGAGCAAGGTCGAAAGATTCTGTTGCCTTGCGGCTGCTCGCAGAACTGGTGGCGGCGGCTGCTGCTGCTGATGCCGGTAAAACAGCTTCGAAAAAAGCAGCTCCCGGCAGCAAAACACCATGGCTCGGAAGGACGAGCAAGGTCCAAAACCACGCGAAAAAACTCCCTAACGTGTCGTCTGGAAATCTAGAAAAACAGCATTTGTCGACAGATTTCTGTTGCCTGCGGCTGCTCGCAGAACTGGTGGCGGCGGCTGCTGCTGCTGATGCCGGTAAAACAGCTTCGAAAAAAGCAGCTCCCGGCAGCAAAACACCATGGCTCTGAAGGACGAGCAAGGTCCAGAACCACGCCAAAAAACTCCCTAACGTGTCGTCTGAAATCCTAGAAAAACAGCACATTGTCGAGAGATTGTCAAGAGATTCTGTTGCCTGCGGCTGCTCGCAGGACTGGTGGCGACGGTTGCTGCTGCTGATGCCGGTAAAACAGCTTCGAAAAAAGCAGCCCCCGGCAGCAAAACACCATAGCTCTGAAGGACGAGCAAGGTCGAAAGATTCTGTTACCTGCGGCTGCTCGCAGAAGTGGTGGCGGCGGCTGCTGCTGCTGATGCCGGTAAAACAGCTTCGAAAAAAGCAGCTCCCGGCAGCAAAACACCATCGCTCTGAAGGACGAGCAAGGTCCAAAACCACACGAAAAAACTCCCTAACGTGTCGTCTGGAAATCTAGAAAAATCTAGAAAAACAGCATTTGTCGAGAGATTCTGTTGCCTGCGGCTGCTGCTGCTGATGCCGGTAAAACAGCTTCGAAAAAAGCAGCCCCTGGCAGCAAAACACCATGGCTCTGAAGGACGAGCAAGGTCGAAAGATTCTGTTGCCTGCGTTGCCTGCGGCTGCTCGCAGAACTGGTGGCGGCGGCTGCTGCTGCTGATGCCGGTAAAACAGCTTCGAAAAAAGCAGCTCCCGGCAGCAAAACACCATGGCTCGGAAGGACGAGCAAGGTCCAAAACCACGCGAAAAAACTCCCTAATGTGTCGTCTGGAAATCTAGAAAAACAGCATTTGTCGACAGATTCTGTTGCCTGCGGCTGCTCGCAGAACTGGTGGCGGCGGCTACTGCTGCTGATGCCGGTAAAACAGCTTCGAAAAAAGCAGCTCCCGGCAGCAAAACACCATGGCTCGGAAGGACGAGCAAGGTCCAAAACCACGCGAAAAAACTCCCTAACGTGTCGTCTGGAAATCTAGAAAAACAGCATTTGTCGACAGATTCTGTTGCCTGCGGCTGCTCGCAGAACTAGTGGCGGCGGCTGCTGCTGCTGATGCCGGTAAAACAGCTTCGAAAAAAGCAGCTCCCGGCAGCAAAACACCATCGCTCTGAAGGACGAGCAAGGTCCAGAACCACGCCAAAAAACTCCCTAACGTGTCGTCTGAAATCCTAGTCGCGGCACCACTTTTCTAGCTTTATTTCCCGGCGGCCCTCTAGAAAGGAGGATGGAACGCAGACATGCAACACATGCCACGCTGCGAAGGTGCAGCGTGCAGTCCGCAAGCGCGCAGCTGCTTCCAGTGCAGCTCGCCTCGAACCTCTCCGGAAAAGATTGCGCCACAGGCAAATTATCCAGGAGACATGGGAAGCAATTGCTCGGAAACGTAGTCGCACCACGATTCCTGTTGAAAAATGCGTTGAAAATACAGCAGGGCCCACTATCTCGCAGAGAAAGCCGGTCTATGAATATATATGTCCTCATTGTGAGACACAGGTCCGTAGTACTGTCACTGATGGACAAGTTGATGCGAAACAACAGCATTGTGGTGTCCGCTTCCGTGTTCGCGGTGGCACAGTGATTCAGAGCTTTCTCACACATCAGTGTCCAGCATGTTTAACAGAAGTGCAAAGCACGAAACGCTTTGGCCGCATACGGGTAGCGCACAAAAAACGAAACGGGAAAAGATGTGGAACAAAATGTTGGCAAGTAGTATGCTCCGGTACCAAAGACACGACTTGATCTAAGAAAATTGCAGCCTAACCCTGAAGCTTATGGACTATCGAGAGCACAGCAGAGGTGGCACATGGTTGTTGTTGTCGCTCCCCCTTGCATCGGCCGGGGTCAGCGAATTATTATTATTCTTTCCTGGCAGCTGTGTCATAAACTCTTTTTCCCTTACGCACTCCCCCTTGCGTCTGCCGGGGTCGGCGGATACCACTGTTTGTACAATGAGACATAGAACCTCGAGGATGCGGCCTCGAACGAACAAATCAGAGCGGGAAGGGCAACCCAAGGAGCCCCACGTACCTCGAGGAGACTCCGGGAAGGACCCCCCACCGGTAAAACAAAAACCCCGGAGTCAATGAATCGACGTACGTGACCGGTGGGAGGGGGACCCAACAGGGTCCCCCGGCAAAGGGTCATTGTTGTTGTTGTTGTTGTTGTTGTTGTTGTTGTTGTTGTTGTTCTTGTTCTTGTTCTTGTTGTTGTTGTTGTTGTTCTTGTTGTTGTTGTTGTCGTTGTTGTTGTTGTGGTTGTTGTGCTGCTGCTGCTGCTACTGCTGCTGCTGCTGTTTCTATCTACTGTAGCTGCAGTAGTATAGTAGTAGTCGCAATGTCTTATTCCCTGGCGCGCTCCCCCTTGCGTCTGCCGGGGTCGGCGGATATACAAACATAATATGCACACACACACACAGAAAAATCAACATCCGGATATGTGTCATGAGTATCCCGCGATACCCTGCATTTAGAAACGAACAGGGCACATTTGCCAACACATATGGTGGCTCCTTGGCACCAAACAACTTCAGGAACCTTCGCCTTGATGAGATGCATGTTGGAGCCCTCAAGACACATTCACACCCAAACCGGGTCTAGTCTAGGCTCTGTAGAGTTATTGTTTTGCATATCAAATTATTTTCGAACTCTTGAAAGGTCTCGTGTAATGCCGGAATTAATTTCTACGTTAAATTTAGATTTTAGAGAGCCTCGCAACTTCCGTCAATACCACCAGCATAACAAGCAGCAACGCCATCTGTGAAAGTGGAAAGGTTTCATCCACCTGACTCATCCGGGCTAAGGCTCCTGCAGCTGCTGGCAATGTAGATGATGACGACGACTCCTATGTCCAGGCCGCCACGTATATCTGTTGGAATTGTATGAGATACAGTGGCAGAACACACACTGATTTTGCAGGTAATCCAATAGCATTGGCGGAACAATTTGTTGCAATGCTTTGCTTGTGGTATTGTTTGCTCAACTCCTGCTTCGAGAATGCAGGTCCAGACTGGTGATGGCAAGTATGTCAGAGTACACACCGAGAAATTCCAAGACATGATGCAGTCCGTCCTTTGTTTGCAAGCATTGGCTGCTGCCTGTATACATATTCAAAATGAGTTGGTTTGCATTCTAATTTCAATCCCTTCTTGCAGCAACCTGTGATGCTGAGTCTGTAGTCCACCAAGGTGCAGTTGCTGCATACCTTTGTGACAGAGATGGAAGGAGGCATCCTTTGTTTGGGGATGTTGGGGGCATTGTTTGGTTGCAAGCATCAGGTACAGACAAATCTATACAATCTGATTCTTTTGCAACTTGAATCATGGATACCAAACTTGGTCAGGCTACTTCGAGGCCATCCCTGAGACAGCAAAGGCCAGAATGGAAATGGCTGACAATGCACGGCAATTCAGGGAAATGGACTGCAGACTGCACATTGCAGCTGATTTTCGCTGTGCCACATGTGATTCGATGCCCAGACTGCCTTGACCTTTGGGCGCGAGGTCCTCTTGCCTCTGCTGACAGCCAGAGAAGAGTATACGATGCTTTGCGATGAGGCAGAGATATTCAATTCGGTTGTGTCATAGGAATTTCAGGTCTCGACCTCCTTCAACAGCGACATGCTGGTGCATCTTCATCTTTGTGAAACAATTTTCCGTGTAGGTTCGTGGCACAGCTTTGCAAGTTTGGAGCTTGCTAATCAAATCTGCACGGCTTGGTGCACAGGTGGGGGTAGATTTGCTTGAGGTTTGGGCATTAGATCCACTGTTACCGATGCATTTTGGACCATGTTCTTGTGAGGAGCGTGGCCAGCCGAATGCCAGAACCTCAAGGTTGACTCAATGTTAATCAGTGTAATCTTTGAAATGTTCTTAAGGTCTTGCATGGTCTTACTATCCTTGAAACGCCGTGCCAGTGTCCAAAGCTCTTCCAAAGCTCTTTTTGAGGCAATGGCCAAAGAGCTGCTGGGAACCGGTTTGCAGGTCGCCTGCTGCAACCAGTTGAATAGAACGGGGAAAAAGTCGGATGCAAAAAAACAAAAACATGTTCGCCAGAGGACTGTTCTGGCTGCAAGTCCATTCTTGATTGCCAGGCGGTTTTCGGTCAGCTGGAACAGAACCAGGAGATTTGCAGAGCCTATGAGAAGCGCATGGAGTGCCAGAGACCTGCATACTTTTGTATATTTCGTAACATTTCGTAACACACCAGTCAAAGTTAGGGGATGGAACATGATGGAACTGGTTTTCACTGGGACCCATCGTGACCCTTTCTCTCCTCGGTGGGTACCAGCTCTGCCCGAGGAGACAGATTTCTTGCACGAAATCTCTTCAGGCATTGCAGAGTGCATTAAGAATGCCTGCTCCTCAAGCAGGTTCACAGAACCATCCTCTGCTTTTGGTGCATTTCTGATGACTTGCAGTCTAACTCTGTCTACTGATTCAGCTCAAAGAATTGAACCAGGCTTCTTGGTGCACCAGATGCCATATTCAATTTGTGGCTTTTAGGATCATCCCAACAGAGTTGAAGCACCTCGCAGGTTAAGCTCTGGTTTGGTCATAAATCAGTGGCTTCCTTTCTGCGTCCAGCCTCAGGTCGGACCGGGTGTCCTCTCTAACGAAGAGGTTCGAACTCTGACCTCCAGGACAGTTTGCAGTTTTCCCCTTATCTGAAGCATGCGAGCCCTCTATGTCGAAATCATCTGAGTATCAAGCTGCAGCTGCTAAACCTGCTGCTTTCCAGGGTATTCGCCTTGATGGACCAATCGCTGGCAAGAAGCACTGTCCTTAGAAGCTTATGATGGAGTGTCTTCTTCTAAAATATGCTTCTGTGGAGCTTCCCACGCACAATTTTCATGGCACTTTAGGTGCTAAGCACGCCAACGAAGAAGCCAAGAACAAACAGGAGGCGTCAGACCGAGTCATAGCCCTGCTTTGGAAGATCTGAGTCACAGTGAGCTTCCAACTTTCGAAAAAGGTGCTTCGAGACGCCTCATCTTTGGTGCTTGAGACCTCCCCATTTCTATGCATTTCTAAAAACCTTGAAACCTCCCTTGGGGTTTGGGCGAACATTGACACATCTTGAAACATCGATTTGATTCCTGACTTTGGAGGCTAGCCACCTTCCTCAGGACCGGACAGTCTCTGGGGATTCTACGCCTGTTGCAGTTGTTGCAGTTTGGGCCGCTGTGGCAAGGCTCCCGCCGCCAGGAGCTCCATGGTGGAGATGAAGATGATGACGAACAGGGCCCAGCTGCTGATGAGGAGATGGTGAACCACCGTCACTTGCATGACCTCATGAAGTCATGAAGCTGCGGAAGTAGCGAACATATCACAAGAGTATCAGGTGAACAAAGCCCAGGATTTTCTCCACACAGGGAGTTGTTGAGACACAGGATCAGCTGCGAAGAAATTACGAAGAGATCCTGGGTGCCATGATGAAGGCAAAGCAAGCCTTGTTGGTCACTGCTGCCAGCGGCTGCGATCTCTTTTGTGTTTACGTGATTTACTTATATACGGTATTTTGCTGT